GTTGTAGTAGAGTTGTCACCCAAAGTTTTTTGATCCTAGGTGTTTAGCCTTGAAGCATACTAGTTTAGGTGTGATGAGCATGAATATCAGGCACCCGAGATAAATTGAATAAATGGAGTAGTAGTAGTTAGTCTGTATTGTATTGTAATTGTATTTTCTTATTTGTAATTATGATTAAATAATTGCAGGTGACAATGTGTGATATTCTGTACTGAAATTTAAGGTTGTTTTTCTTTTTGCCATCTTTGATAATAAGTTTCTTTCTTTTTAGACACCATTGTGTCGAAGGTGTGAGAAGTTTGGAGCATATACTGGCTATTCTGCAAAATGAAACAATTTTAAAACTGACACCCATGCATTCCAAACAATTCAGAAAATCTATAATCAGCAGTGTGTATACCAACCCAGCCCATAGTGCACAAATAATTTGGACTAACAGTGTCTGACCTGAGGCTGTGAATTATGGCTGCAGAGGGACCTCGGCACAGGTTGGATGATTAACAAGCAAATATGCTGCCTCCAACACCAACTGTTGTTTTCATTAATTTGTAGGGTGAAATGATAAAGAGACTGCGCAACTATCACCACAGCAGTTTTGTAATGAATTGGTGTGAGTGTGTTTTTGTGTGAAAACGAAACTCACGCAAACATATTAATCACACAGTTACCTGCAAACTCATGTGTGCTCATTGCACAGATGGATGAAAACAAGGTGTGAAAAACAGCCAAATCTCAACGCTACAAATGCCTTCAACGGATTGCAAGAGAGAGGGGGAAAAAGAGCAGCCGTGAGAAACTCGAAGCAAAAAGATCTAATGCAGGGAAGTTTTCAAACTTGGCTAGATTAACACAACATCCTTGATATGCAGCAGGTATTCTATATGATCCTACATTGAGGGGATTACCAAGCAGAGCCTTGGCAGGGGCAGAACTGTGACTGCAACATGCTTCCAGGCTGTTTCACTGGCAAAAAGGTACACTAGTATTTGATCGTGGTGGCACCGTCGCCTCATAGCAAGACAGTCCGGGGTTTGAACATGACCTGGCTGCCTAGGAGTTTAAAGTACAAAGCCATGCAGGTTAGGTGAAGTCGCCTGTAGGTGTGAATTTGTTAGTCTATCTGTGTCAGTCCAGCTATAGATTGGTGACCAATACTGTAGGTTCCAGCTCCTCATGATCCTGAACAGGATAAGTGGGTCCAGAAAAGAGATTATTTGATCGTGGGAAACTAGTAAAAGTATTAAATATTGTTTATTGTATTACTTTATTAATCCCACAACGGGGAAATTCCCTTGTCACAGCAGCATTTTACGTGAAATAAATAAATACAGATATAAAAAAAACTATGGTTAAGTGGTAAAGCTATGGTATGGTGGTAATTTGAAAAAACAGAAACTACAACATTGATCAGGTGTTGTAGAGTCTGACAGCGGCAGGGATGAAAGACCTGCGGAACAAATAATTAACAAATATACATTTATTGTCGCAAATGGATATTTTTTTTCATAGCCAGTACAACATAGAAACACACAGGTATAGACAATATATAAAAGCTTCATGTACACATTTGTACATCGCAGCTCACAACGAGTTTAAGCAATTCAGGGCTGCTATGACTGGAGGGACAGAACTCCCACAGAAGCCGGCTCTTCTTCATTTTGGGCTTTTTTATTGCCACAGGAAAGGGGGGAGACAGAGGATGACATGCAGCAAAGGGCCACAGGTCGGAATAAAACCCATGGCCACTGCAGCAAGGACAAAGTGAACTGGCAGGGCACCCCGCTTTTCTCCATTATTATTATCATTACTATCATTATTATTGCTTTTATAAAGTAACAACATGAGGTGGGGGGCTCTGGGTTTATTGATAATATCACAGCATCCTCTGTCCTTTTTTTGGGCCTATAGGCAAACTATTGGGGATCCAGCTGTGGTCTGATAGCTGAAGACTCAGTTTTTTCAGGTATTTCACAACTATTGGAGTGTGACCAGTTGTAGTGGTTGGATTCTAAAGGTTGTGGATTCTTGGGTACTAGTATGATGGTGGATGTTTTTCAGAAGGTGGGTATTGATGCTGTCCTCTAGGATTCAGAAGGATCGGAAGATGATAGAGTGGAGGAACGGAGAGAGTACCATGGCACAGAGCTTGAGCATCTGAGCTAGGATGCCATCTGGCCCTGACGCCTTGCCAGGTTTGTACCTGCACAGCAGATGTCAGAGATCTTCCAGTGTGAAGGGGGCATGTGTGAGCTCATGAAACAGGCAGCAGAGTGGTTATGAATGTCACTCTGTGTGTATAAAGTGCAAACACAGATGGTGGGGTCTGTTTTTGTGGAATGCTTTTGTTAAGGCTTTTACTTTATGAAAAGCTTGTTCTGTGTTAATGCTTCCGAACTTTTGGTCCAGTCTGTCATTATTTTTGAGTTTGGCCTTGGTAATGTCATTCTTAACCTGTGTGTGGACTGTTAAGAAAAGCTCAGTCCCTGCACTGAAATGGCTTCTGTTTGTGTTGGTAATGCAGAACTCTTACATTCAGATCACCTTAAAATATGTCTCAGTTTGTGCATGCCAGTGAGCCCTGTAGTTGTGTAATGATCCCCTTCAACTATTGGGTGGCACAGTGGATTTGAGGCTTGGCACATTTCAGTTCCAGTTTGTAGTGTGGGAGCAGGAAAACAAAAACCCGACAGGAGGATGTACCAAGCACTGAATGCATCACTGATGTTTCCTTGACACTCCAGTTTTTTGTTGTGGGAGCACATGCTGGTGGAAAGAGGTTAAAATAACCCAGAATGAACACCAGGGCTTCGGTGTATGTACGCTGCTGATGTTTGGTGTTCGCACTGGGTGGGATGATCGCAGCCAATGATCACAGTGGGTAAATACCATTGGAAACAGAAAGGTAATGATAAATTCAGCATCTCCATGTCTGGTGTCCAGACTTTGATGTGGGTTTTTATATTATTATAATGCACGTTGTTGACATTTGCAGACCCCACCACCCCTCTCCTTGCCCGACTGACTGGTCCTGTCATATGATGGTAAAGAGATCGAGACTACCCTTGCAATCTAGGAAGCCCTTGTTGAGCCATGTTCCAGTCAGGGTGATGATACAGGTGTCCCTGAAAGCCCTTTCCAACAGGCGCTTGGTGTGCAGTAAATACATTTTTGGTCGGTTGATAGAATAACAGTTTTTAGAAGATCTTCCCAGCTATAGGTTGTGGCGCTGAGCTGTTATTGGTGAGCCATAGGATTATGAATGCGAACCAGAATACCTTGTATAGATCTAGCATCTCAAATGTTTAGCTAGACTGAGTAGCTTATCAAATCAATCAAGACGAGATGCTGACACAGACGCTAACAGATCATAGCAGACATGACAGACTGTGTGAAGTTGCAACATGGAATTTGCTGCGCATCTCTTATTTTTCAAAATGAGATGCATGGTACTAACTATTTAGAGGTAAGGCTGGAATGCCAACTGGACACAGATGGGCAAGAACCCCTGGTTCAGTGTGTGTCATTTGATTTTTGGTACTTAATTGATACTTAATCACACATTTGTTATGGAATTCGAACCGATTAAATACAATATTTCAGGCAGGGCCTGCATTATTACTTAATCTTGAGGCTGTGTCTTTTAAGGGGCCCGGGGTCAAAATCTATATTAAACACCTTTATTATTGTGTTCACAGGGAACAGATTTTTTAAAAAAAGCTTTGTTTAATCAAATTACCACAAAATCATTCACATACAAGTTCAAGTAGAAGAGTCAGGTGTATGAGTATTATTCCAATGGTTGGTTTCTGGATCTTCAAAACAAGACATGTACCTTTTATCTGATGATAGTGCTAGATGAAAAATCAATGCTATTACCATTTATCTTATGAAAAACATGAATGCTTGTACCATTTTGCTTCAGTTAACTTGTAAAACTTAGAGAGAGAAAGAGACTTTCCTCACATGAAAATGGCTTCTTGTGGTCATTCAAATTACATCTTTCAGAACACAGGCGGAAGTCAAAGTAGTACCAAAGTAGTTTTTGTGCTTCATCCTGACTTAACCAAAGAGGTGGCAGATCAGAAAACATAATTTTGTTATAGTCATATGCATGGTTGAAGTTAATGACAGATGACTGAGAAGTTTGGAGACCTACCAGTGGCTGCTCTAGTCTGATTGTTATTTGCCTATTGTCCTGTGAACGGCACAAGCCAATATTGCATCAAGGACATGGTCACCCCAACCCATCCACTAGGCTCTGCTACTTCCAATCGGCTTGATTTTCTCTCACTCCGCTCAACAACTGTTTGCTGTCGTGGCTCCACAACGGTGAAACAGGCTCCCCGATTGATATCAGGACATCAGAGACTCTACACATTTTCCATTTCAGGCTGAAAACTCATCTGATCAGACTGTACCTTGGCCCATAAAAAATTGTACTTGCATGATTCTTGCAATTTTTGGGTTGTATCCAAGGAGTTGTCAGAAGGGAGTCTCACAAAAGACAATACTGAGATGTATATGGGAAATGTAGGGTCTAGTGAGTCTCCCTACATAATGTAAGTACAATACTAAATCAGAAGTTCTCTTTTAACTAAAATGAATGAATTAACCTAAACTTGAACAAGAAAGGTTATTAAGTAGGTTAGAGTTTGATATTTGTATCTTACTTAATGTCAGATATAAAGCAGTGTTTTTGTATTAATTTTGGGTTTACACAAGGTTGATCACTTTAGAGAAACTAACCCTTAGTGAGTTTTAGTGTCCCATTAAATGCTTTTCCATCATAACAAAAAACTTCTATTTCTAGTTTAAAGTGAGCACTATTGCTATTATGCCATGCAGTATGCATATTTAACATCACTGCAAAATAGCAACGAGGTCTTGACATACCCATATTGTGTACCTGTATGTCCCTCGATGACACAGAGCAGCAAAATACTATACTAGACACTAAAAAAAGACTGTAGTCAGTTTAATAATATCCAGCTGTAACCAACCTTGAAGAAAGTCATGGTGGAGCCATCCTCTACCACCCCATATTCTATCTTCGTCTGCTTAGCCAGGTCGTCAGCAGAGTCGATGGGTGACTCCATCCTCTCCACAGTGAGGAAGGCTGCCAGGTTGGCCGTGTAGGAGGAGATGATGATGAGCGTGAAAAACCACCAGATTCCTCCTACAATTCTGGTGGAGAGGGCTTTCGGCATGAGCTCAGATCCTGAACGAGAGGAGCAGAGGAGGGAGTGAGGCCTGGCGCTGCACTAGGCTGGAGAGGGGGCAGCACCCAGGCCAGGCTAGGCCTCTGCATCTGCTGCCTGGATCACACACTCAGACACACAGACACACAGAGTGGGCAAAGTGGGCAGCCTCAAGGTTGGACCTGGACCTGGACCTGGTAATAGGTATTTAGCTAGAATATAGAGATAGAAAGTGGGACAGGAAGATTCACTCGTTCTTGCAACATACTGTGCTTCTGGAATCTTGATGACATAATGACTACATGGGGGGCTTGCTACTGTAGCTGGTAAGCTAACTGCAAACACACTAGCTAGTTTATTTTTTCTAGTTACCTAATCGATCATTTATTTTTGCGAAGGTTGCTAACCAAACCATCTTGGTTGCTAACCAGACAAACATTGACTGCTGCTCATTGAATAGACAAACCTTTTGAGACTTTTGTCTTACAACCTTCTACAAATGTTCTTTTGGGGAACAATGTATTGTCATGGTCACAGGTTGTCATTTGTCGGTTCTGATTGGTTGCCAAGCTTCAAGGGGGCAAAGCCTTACGTAATGTGAGCCTGTCTGAGGGGAGACACAGAGGGAGAGAGTGTAGAGTGGAGGCTAGGCCACAGGAGAGTGACGTGCTGCAGATGAATGCAAAGAGCTAGACCGTGATGGACAATGAAGGTCAACCCTCATCTCTGAAGGATCTTGGTTTAGTTTCTGACTGCATCTATTTGTTAACCTAAATGAACTGAAATAGAATCCAAGCTCAGTGTATACTGGCAAATACAAGGCAGGCTGGAGGGTGCTGCCCAACCAGGCAGTTGGGTGAGCGACACTGTGTGGTATGAATGGAGTGACTGCATCCTACTCTTGCTGATTCAACAGCAAGTATTTAGCATATGTGATGGCCTGTTAGTAGCTGGTACAGCAATGAGGGCTATCATAATAAATACCCCAGACTAAACAAATTAATTGTATCAGTAATACCTGTGCCCTGAAAGCATACTCGCCTCTATATGTAAAGATCTGCATGGATTTACTTCATCCCTGCAAGTGAATCCACTGATGCAGTCTTATGAAATTAATTTATTTATTGCACTTCCTACATGGAGTTGTTTAGCTTAACACAGCATCAGTTACTTCTACTATTTTTAATTTCTTATAATAGAGTACACTAAATCTTCTGTTAATCTGACTGTTTTTCATTCAAGTTTTATGCAGAATGTATGAAGAGGATGAAGGAGCATATGTGCGTGGGTAGAGTGGGAGTGAGGTTTGTTGTCTGGGTGAAAGAAGGTTGGCCTGGGTAATATCAGGACCATTCTACTCAAGCAGCTTAAGCAATTGAAAGCAGGGATTTTGTACATTCACTCAGAGGGAAAGCTGATAAAGAGTCAGTGAGATAGGAGGTTAAGAACTCTGTGCTCCACTCCCTTTGTACGAGACTCAATCTGCACTCTCACTTTTCATCAAACTTTCTTTCTCACGGTCCCCCGAGTGAGCTGTCTAGTAGAGGGTGCATGCAGGGAAAGACATGACAGCCAACTGCAGCCAGAGCCCACCACTATTGATACTGCAATGGAGATACAACGACAGGCTTTAGGGAGACAGGGATACCTACTAAAAATGAGCCTCCTCAGTGGTTTAAGGCTCAAAGAAAGATACCACGTCTACCAAGTATGGGTTGGTAAATTCTTATCCTGCCTTCAGTAGATAACTAATAGAATGTATACAATATGCTGACTATCCTTACTGTTGCATGTGTACAGGCTCAATACAGATTTTATATGTGAGCAATGATAAAAAAACCACGTTTTACCAATGTATGGGTTGTTAAATTTAAATCATCATGTCCATGCAGTTTTGCCTACAATAAACCCCAAAATAATTGATAGAACGTGATAAATGGCCCCAAAAGCTAAAAGAAAAAAAATTTCCCTATTATTATTTTTTTTAAAAAAAAAAAAAAATTTTTTTTTTTTTTTTTAAAACCCACCCCAGCACTTTTGGGGAGTCAGGTTGAAGTGTGTTTCACAATTATCTGCTAGGTAAAATTACTGGTTGAGTTAACGGGGTATGGCCGTCCATAGTGCTCATTGTTTTTGTCTGAGACGTTGGTGCTCTAGTGAAGGTGAATTTCATATACATGACCTTTAATCAGTCGTCTCCTCAATAGAAATTTTCAGTTTAACCTCTCATTAGGCACAAGCCATCCACACTGTCAGACATGGTTCAAGCACCCTATCAAAGTCACCCAGCACGGCCACCAGCCACCCACTTTGCCCATTCATCAAACCACAACCAGGAACAAAAATCAAGGTAGCAGACATGAACAAACACATATTCATCAGAACTGTCAGCAGTGGATTCTGCTTGTTCTACGTTGGACCAATGACCGGCTATCAGACGCAGGTTCTAAAGATGGAACATATTACCAGCTCCGAGCTTCTTATCGTGTTCCACCTCAGAAATCAGAACAGAAAAGAGGGGCGACTCGCTCAGAGAAGCGAGCCGACCCAAACAGAGCCTGGTTGGGGCTGACTGTCATGTACCCAAGGTAACGTCATGACCAAACAGCACATCCCACAGTTTTCTGGGGGGCGGGGCAAGCCGCCGGGCAGGGGAGCCTCTCTACATTGCAGACCAGCACGGTGCCATGCAGACACTGTGTTTGTCTAGTCTAATCCCACAGCTTTCTGGCCCTCAGCCACATCTTCTCAACTCGTCAACCCTACACATCTGATCTGCTGGCCTTTCAATTCTGAGCTGCATCTAGAGGCTAAAATGACATTTACATGGGAGTTTTTTTGTTGGGGTGGTGTTATAGTCAAACAAGTCATCATATTTTAATAATAATTTACTAATATTTGAATCTTTGGAGCCAAGTAAATAAAATTCTGTGGAAAAAACTTAGTAGCTAATTTGGGGACATTAGTAAGCATGCGGTATAAGTAAGCATGCAACCAGCCAACAAGGGATAAGTTATCTGCTACTAAAACTAAAAAGATTCAGATGTCTGTGGACTTATAGGATCACTTCATCCAAAGAAATATTTCTTACTTGTCATGCACATAGTCCTGCTTTTATTTGTCCAAGTTTTGAGATATCTGTCTTTGAGATTTAACCTCTACCAAATATAGTGGTGGCGGTAAAATGAAAAAAAAGAAACTGTGTTCTGTGGATTATCCAGGGTACCTGCAACAGACATTTTGCTGTTGAATTTTTAAACTAACAGAAGCAAATAACAGCCAAGTAATCTATGAACAAGTGAATATTTATTTTCTTTCATGAAAAAAATATCAAATAAGTGATTTAAAAAGGTGTTTTCTCAAATTTAGAGAGGGAATTTAAGTGTAAAAAATCACTCAAGATCCACTTACTAGCTTTCTTCTCATGATCTTTCTCAGTGGACTGAGTTGTTTAATTGTCATCATGTAACCTATGTATGGAACTTTGGTCAAGTGTTAAGAGGTGGGGCAGCCTATACTGTATACAGTACAGTACAGGTTACTGAGGATGACCATGGAATATGGGTGAAAGCTGAAAATTAATGGGGCTTGACTTAAGATTTTTATTTTGCCTAACTACTGTAAAAACTAGTTCAAGTAGCAGTTAAGTAGTGAATTTAAACAAATTGAGAAACTCAGAAGGTTTCCTTATAGCTATCAGATAGCTAGCTAATGATTAATGTGAGTTAGTGAAGTGTTTTGCTCTGTACACCCACACACTAACTAACTAGCTAACTATTGATGTAGATTAGCTAGCAAGTCAGCTAGCAATTTGCTAACATTAACTAACTTAAGATATGACAATATAGGCTATGTCACGTTCATATTTCAGTTATCTTCAAAATGTGGTTGTCTTTTCAACTTTAGAGCACAGAGCAAAATGGGGCAAGACTTGGGGTGGAGGCATAAATGTCAGGGACATGTTCAAAACCAGGACATATAAAACCAAAACTATCTCCATGACCAGATACCACTTAAGGTAAGGTTATATTATTTCTTGCAATTTGGGTGAACTGACCCTTTAAAGCAGCTTTGACTAGGGCAGCTAGTTCTTTGTGTGCTTTATTGCATTGTTCAGATGCAAGGACATATACAGACATGCTTTCCAGGCCCTAAAATCATCACTACCTGTTGTAAATATGTTGCATTGTTAATTCCTTTGGAAGAATTGCTCATTTACAATGCAGCATATCTCCCATAGTGACATGCATTGTAAAGGATATAGGCCACATAATTATTAAAGTGATAACATTCCATTTTCTATTTAACTTGATTTTTTTTCTTTCTCAGTCTAAAGATGCCAACTAGTTGAGAAGATATGGCATTGGTTTGGCAGAACATTCACATTCTCATTCAATCTCACTCATTTGATCCATCTCAGGTGTTCTGGGTGGGTACACTTACCTGCTCAGACGGCTGTAAATTGGTGGGGAAAGGGAGGGTGTGAGGGAGCATGCAGGAGCACCATCCTCATTTATTGACCACATCACTCAAATCCCCTCTCAGTCCATCCTGCTGCACTCTACTAGCATCATGCACAGAGGCCCCCATGCATGGTCATGGGCCTGGTCAAAGAGCAAAGGTTGACCCCCAGCAAAAAAGTGGGACTTGTGCTAGAAAAAGGGGGCAGGCAGAGGCGTCTACCTTGCTGCATGAGAGCTCCAACTCCGAACCAGAAACTATTTAGCAGGGTGAAATTGTTTTCCACTACATCCGAGTCAGGGTTGCAAGGGTGGGGGTTATACCACTCGTAGGGACTAAACCTGTGACAGTTAACAGAGAACACACACATATATATGTTTACTGCAGTTGCATAAAGACACAAGTGAAGACAATAAAAGAGACCGAGAGGGGTCGTCCTACCTGGGGAGACGGGGGAGAGAAAGCAAAGGTTGGTTAGACATGTCCAGAGTAAGACACTGCAAATTATGCCTGAGAACACTTCCCAAATCAATAAGCCTTTCTATGTCTTCATGTGCATACCTCGGATTGCTATGCTGTTAATTGGATTAGTAAATGACGTGCTTATTACATGAATTACTGTAATTTGGATTTTCTTACTGAATAATCTATTAGTCTAAATAAAGTTACAAAAAATGATGTCTCATCTGAATCTCCCTTATGTGTGTTTTTAAAATCCGATAACATACAAAACTTGCGAAGTGGGCTCGAATGAACCCCACTCACATTCCAAAAGTGACTCCTCACGTAGGAGTGCTCATATCAAAGGCAATTCCCTCAGTAATTTAATCGATGGGGTCTGAAAATAACTCCATTGTCAGCCGAGAAAAGAACTAATAATCCTTATAATCTTGGAGGAGCATTAATATTCAGCAGATCAAACGGTTCATTCCCATCATGCCCACGCCGGCCCCGGCACTCCCCCTCACTCGACGCACTCCTCAAGCAGAGAGATTTCTCATTTATTCATATTAAATAAAAGTGACATTACATTAGTAAAGGTTGATTGGGCTACAATTAAGCATCCTGACCTGATTTGGTTTGTGCCAGAGAAGATGGGGGAACCAGGGCCCTATCTTGACTCAAGCTGTTTAACAGACACAAGGGTTTGACTAATCAAATTGCAATGCATAATGTAGACTTGTCTCAGTGTGGGCCTTTTTACTGTACTGGAAGTCAGAAACGATAACCTCAAGTAGATGTAACATCTGCACGGAGAATAATGCAGATGAAACTGCTGTGCCGCCGGGCATCAAGGTTTTGATCCATTGTCCTCTGGGTAAAATACAGTAGTACTGGGTTAAATACTGCAATACGCTACTCTATATGAAGATGTATGGCTGTATCGATGAAATGACAGCATCATAACGGTACACTGTCATTGACTAATGGGCTTTGCCATTATAATGTGGTTAGCGGTGGTGTTTCTTTTCACCCCTTACAACACTCCGGAGGATATTGTGTGGTGTAGCTCAAGGACCTCTGAATGTCCCCTTTATTCCTGCTTTAAGAGAATCCTTGGCCTTAAATCAATCCGTCTGCTCACTCAATTTGCCCCAGATTTGCTTGCTTGTCAATTTGCAATGCCAAATTGAGTTCAACTGAACTGCGACCTTGTCATGGCGTATGTGACTATGTGACCCAGTTGCTTGCGCAGAGGTCTCTGAGTGTGTTTCCTCCAATCATGTCGTGAAAAGCCAATTACTGCTCGCCATGAACATGGATGAGCAAAGTTGTCAGCATCGCGCTAGATAATGGGAGTGGCTGGTTGGACTGCTGCTGCTGCTGCTGGTTGGGTCAGGGAATGCTAAACCAATGCCGTTTACAGGAGACAACACAGCTTAGCTGCTTGGCCCGTTTGCTGTCATTTTGATCCAATTACAATGCCCTTACATTATCTCAGGTCATCTGTGCTGCAGAGGGAGAAACTTTGAGCAAGGTCAGTGCAGAGATAAGCGTGGACAGAAAAAAAAGGTGAAAAATTCACCAGCAGCGCAGAAACAATGTGAGGCTTTTATCTTTCTACCGGGGCAGGGTCATCCCGCCGAAAACTCCAGCGATGATACGCACGATAACACCAATGTCAGGGGAGATGAATCAACAGAATCAGAATGGTCCTGTTTCTTTGTAACAAGATTATAGACTTTATATGTCCACACATGAGATTTTGACCGTGAATGCTATAGTGTACAATAAAGGACCAAATCCCACCAAAGATTTATTTTTCTGTAAATTGCTGTTTCTGTATATGTATGTTTTAATGCTACATGCTTTCTTCCAAGCATTTACTTTGTATATGAAATGTCCTTTTGAAAACTTATTTTGCCATGCTTTGCCTGTACTGTACTGTACAGCACTGAAAGACAGACAGAACATATTCAAAAGCACAAAAGATTACGGTGTGCCTTGGAAAATGGGCAACAATAATGAAAAGTGCAGGGTAAATAATTTTTTGTACACTGGCCTAACACAGACAACTTGCTTTAAAATTCAACCAATATGTACTGACAGTGGTTTGTCAACTGCACATGGAACTCTGTGGTATATCTTTGTTACCCATCAGACTGAACACATTCAATTCAATTTGATTTGTATAGCGCCAATTCATAACAAAAGTGATCTCAGAACACTTTTCAAATGGAGTACGTCTAGACCGTACTCCTTAATATATATGTTATATAATAATAACATATATGAAATATATGTTGGTATTAAATATCATATATCGTCCAGTCTTTATGAACCATTTCTAATGTAATGTAGCTTTGTTTTTGTTTGATAAACCTGACATGAATGTATTGGAGCTTATTGCATGAAGGTATTTATTTGCATAGTAGGCCTTTTGGAACCTCCAAACCTAACTAGCCTTGCAAATCTAAATAAATCATTAGCTAGTTAGGTGGCTTGTTAGCTGGCGTTTTGCTAACATTAGTGATCAGATGTAACTAGCTAGATAAAGATAAGGTAGATTAGCTAGCTAGTTTGCTAGCTATTTGCTAACATTAGCTAACTTAATGTTGCTTTTATCATTTATCCATCTTCAAAATGTAGCTGTCAATACAGACCAGCCTAGCACATAGCATATGACTGAGGTTCTGACCAAGGCTTGCTCAACTGTAGAACACAGCGAATACAAGGGGCAGGAAGGGTCAACTGTTAGTCTTCTCCTACTTAATAAGACTCAACACTCCATTTGAGTTTTTCATAAGAAATGTACAAGCATATATCCAGAACGTCCTACTTAGATGACTGCATGGGATTCAGAAGAGATTTTCAACCACGTGATGAGGGGTGTGCCTTTAACATGAGCACGTACTTAACCAAAGGCTTTTCATTCAAAGACAGATAGATTACACTTTGATGTGAAGGAAGAAAGACTTTGCACACAGAGAACTATTCTAATTTTGAGCAAGACAGGCGACAACTCGGTGTCAATATGATGAGTCATAATGAGAGAAAGACAAGGAATGTTCTGCACAAACGTCCTGATCGATAACTGTCGCCAAGCTTTACCTCTGCGTCTTGCTCATCTTATTCGCTTGATGTGTAGGATGTAGGGAATTTGATTCTCCAAAGTGTAACAAGGTGATAATGCACAGGCTTTAGCAGGGGTGTGATGTACTATAGAGGTTGTTTTTTCCCCCCTGCTGTTTCATCACCTGTGCCAGAAGCAGCAGCAGTGCTATTGATGTCATTAGAGGGAACATAAGAGCAATAACAACCAGTAACGTTAACATCAGTAACTGGAGATATGAGGGCAGGCAGAAGCAACAACAGAGTAATCATGTGTTTTTAGCTGTGCAGCCATGTGGTACGGACCTACACATGGTGAAGAGAAGCTGCTCTGCCTCTAGCACTGTCAGTCCTAGTATTCGGTCTCTGTCAGTCTCCCACTCATACAAACAGTCAGTCACACAGTACAGCACAAACACAAGCATACATAGATAAAATGTGCAATGTGTACACACATATATAAACAGTATATAAATAAATAAACCTTGTTGTACTATTAGGTATTGCCTGTCAAATGTATGCTGCTAGACAGTTTGGTCTCACAAACGTTTGTGAAATGAGTGTGCTTTGTAAACATACAAATGACGTATGTGAACAGAAGGTAAAATAAATGAATTTTCCCTCCATGATTCAGTGGAGGACATTGTACAAAGAAGGTTTTTTATGAATCTGAATAAAACCTGGATGTAAATGTTAAGCAGAGATTGTTCCCAGCACAATGGTAGCATCAAATACCTAAAAAATAAATTACATTTAACTGACAAGAAACCTCTTCTGTAGGAGGTGGGGGTGGGGGGGGGGCAGAGTGGGTCGTCCACTAATCGGAAGGTTGTTGGTTCGATCCCCGGCTCCTCCCGCCACACGTCGAAATAGCCTTGAGCAAGATACTGAACCCTGAATTGCTCCTGATGCTGTGCATTAGTGTATGAATGCGTTTCTGTTCGATGGGTTTTGCCATCGCTGTGTTAATGTCAAACCCTAACCTTAAATGGAAACCTTAACCCTAACCTGTCCTCACAAATGCCTACACCCAAAGTCAGGATCCAGGTGAATTTGACCTGAATTTAACTTTTGGGCTTCAACTTTTGTCTATCCTTCTGTTTGTTTTCTTTTGGACCCAAACTAAGGTGGCACTATTTTCTAAATGGACCTGCCTGTTAAGTGTAAAATTCCAGCCTCAAAGATTGTGCCCCGCCTCCCTTGAATTAAGGTAAAAAAATAAGGAAAACATTCCACTATCTGTTGTTGTGACTGTGGGCTAAGCTTTCTTTCTTTTCACAGTCATAATCTCCAGAATTGGCCTACGAACTGTGAGGTGTAAATTACCAGTGTACCTATTCTCCTAATCCTTGTTCTCTCAGGATTACTTTATACTATTCGTAGTTTTTATTTCAATGGTGATAGTAATTCCCTAGTTAATTGCCATATTGGAGGAACTTGTTGCTTATGCAACCAAGCAGTCCTTGTACCTAAACCTAGCCATTTGCCATATCAGTGAAACATGAAGCTGTGATTGGTAAGGGTTTAAAAGGGACTTTTCCTGCTATAGTCAGATCAGAAAAAAAAGTATATGCTAGTCTGGCGAGAGCAATAAGGGGAGAATGGGGAAAGGACGAACAACACCAGCTGGGGAATTGCATCCCAGGAAATATTTTCTTAACCTCTAAAATTAAATATTATTTGGATAAATAATGAAGGCACACAGACTCGTTACTGATGTAAGACAGAGATGCATTTTCACAATAAACCAACTGCTTTATTGAAATAATCAAATTATATAAATAGTATTAATATTAATTAAGCTTAGAGGTTAAGAAAATATTTCCTTGGGTGCAATTACCCAGTTGGCATGGTTGGTCCTTTCCCCATTCTTCCCCTTATTGCCCTCACCGTATTTTGCCGTTGTCAGCAGGATAGGAGCGAAAGAAGAGAGCATAGGCCAGCAGGTGCCTTATATAACCTGGCCTGATTATGAAGTTGGTTAGGGAAGGAGTCAGGCATGGGACTGCATTCACAAGCACTAACACTGCACTCACCTGCACTAGGGGAGCGTACCCCACCACACTAAGGTACAAAGTTTTCACATTTATCTGATCCCATAGTGATTTTATTAAATAATCGGTTAACTCACTTAACACATAGTATCTAGCCATGTAGATAGTTCCGTTTTTTTTTAGATATCTGTCTCTGGATTTTTCCAGTTTAAATAGGTGAAATTGAGTGAAAACTGTTTACAGCTAGGCCTGTGGATTATCTAGAAAAACGGGAGCACTCTTTCTGGTAAGACATGTTGCCTGTTAAATTATGTGGTGGGCACCAAAAGCTATATTCACCTCCATTGCATTGGAGTAAAGGTACAAAATCTCAGAGACAAATAACCTGGGCAAATATTAGCTCAACTATCTGCATGGCTACATACCACAAGGGGAAGAACGTGAGAAGATATTTGGCTATGATAGTTCAACTGCACAAGCTAATTATTATTATTATTACAATTGTTTCACACAACATTATCTGTTCACAATACGCAATCTGCCTTTTAGACTTCTCATTTCATGAAATTTTGTGAGACTGTTGAATGTGCTACATTCTACAGCAAAAACATGCAACTGTAGCCCAGCATGCATCTATGTATACAGGAGAGAAGAAGGAATAAAGTGAGGGGGAAATGTATACACTTACCCAAACACTTACTTATTGTGATATTAAATACAGATAGGTGCATATTCTGAGCCAACTTAGATGACAGTTGCCGCTTTTTATTCTCTTGTGTGATCATATCGCCAGTAACATCGGAAAAACACACGTGCGTTAACAGTAAAACTGTCGGGCCACGGCCTCAAGAGAGCCGATGTCTCCCAAAAGTTTTAGAGTTAACATATACTTTTCTTTGTCTTTTTTTATTCACCATGCTTCAAACTGGCTGAATAAGAGCCATTAGATCACTCGAGTGAGTGAGCCTTCAAAAAATATTGGCCTAGTTTCATCAACTGAATGGACTTGTCTGAGTAAAGTCGCTAAAAGGAAAGACAACTGGTACAAATGATGTGTTGTATCATTTCACCAGCCGAAGCATTCTTGATGTTGCCTGCATCATCAAACTGAACTTTATAGACATAGAAGCAAATAATAAGCTTCTTGTATCTGTTATAACACCTACCAATGGATGCAGGTTTTCTTATAGCATAGTTAGGGTTGGGTGACATTCAGTGATACCAACAGAGCAAACGCTCTCTCCTTGCTGAAATATCTCTGATTCAAAGAATGTTTCTATCTAAAGCAGTTATAGTACCTGCATTCCTGCATTTTTATATTGGTCAACCACCAACTCAACATACCCTTAGTACAATTTCATTACCTTCCAACACCATTAGCACAACTCCTAACGGGTTCTAGAACCTTGTACAGCTTTAGAAATGTTCACAACAAGCATATTTAGAGCAATGTATTTAAACTCTGCAGCACTCCCTCCATGGGTCCAGTTTCTTTGAACAAGTGCAATGCCATTTGAACTTGGGTGGCACCGATTAACTGCAGTAAGAGACCTGAAATTGCAGGTCGTAGCCCCACTTATAAGAGAGCTTTGGTGGAGAAGTGAGAAAGTAATCCAAAGCAACTACAAAGAATAACGCTAAATGTGAGGTTTTATGGGAGAAACAACATTTGATAGCCAAGAGTTCTTTATGCTTTGAAAGCCTAGCATACTAAAGCAGTCTGGACAGATATACTTGGCTGTATCTTTATGAATAGTCAGCTGCTATTAACACCAGAGAGGGTAAGTGGTGACAGTACAGATAATAAACAAAGGTTACAAGGACTACAATAAGATTTTACTTTTCCAACAAAATGCTTGGTGAGGTGACAGCTCAAAACTCTAATAAACTAGCTACTTGTAAGTCCATATCCTGTTGGGTTTGCCAGTAAATGGACCAAAACAAGCAGAAAAAAAGATATCTCTGAGTCATAGGTGTATTTGAAGCAAGGTGAAGGAAACAAGAGAAAAGAAAAGACAGCATGAACTCTGAGACACTGGGGACAGTGAGGGAAAGGTGGGAGAGGAGCAGCAGTGTTCACATCGAGCTCGACACATCCCAAACACACACTTACGCACACATATCCATATGAGTGCACAACCTTTCTGCCACTCTCTCGGAAGCACACACACAACCCTCAAACCGCTGATAGGCCTACGACTTCTCTGTCTCAGGTCTGTGTTCCTGTATATGTCTGCATCTCCTGTGGTTTTATTTACTGGTACAAATGTGAGTAGAAGCAGGCCCAGAGTAACCTAGCAGCCATGCCGAGTGCCAATTTAAAACAAGATACTCTACGAACATTTTACAAATGTCTAATGCTGGAGAAAATGGCAAATATTTGTGTGATCATGGTTAAACTGCAATAAACACGTTACACAGCAATGACGTGGAGTCTGAGCTTTGATACATGACCGTTGATTAGTGTCAGCACTGTCACTGAGTGGTGAGCTCGGGATCCTGTAATTACAGAGATTAGCCTGTTGTTAGTCAGATGGGCGAGGCCGAGTGATGGCAGCTAAAGCACGTGTCTGACTGTGTGTGAGGCTGTGATCGCTGGAAGTGGCATGTTACCTGGCTATGACAAACAGCACACAACTGACACCCAAGTAAGCCAGCAGAATATACATCCAGATATCGGGCGAGAGGGGGTTGAGGAAGGAGAAGACCCCAGGGTTGGTCCCGTTGGGCTTGCGGTACAGTATACTTATACCCAGCGTCATGAAGGGCTTGGAGAAGTCGATAACCTTCTCGCGCACGTATGTGATGGCGAGGGGAGCCACTGCCAGATCAGCTCTCTGTCAACAGGAAGCATAAAAGGGAAGAGAGATAGGCCATAAGTCACGGGCACAGGAAGCGTTTAGAGGCAATCAAATTAGGAAAACAGGGTCTTTACACACTGGGACAGTCTGGCACTTAGCGAGAAATTTAAAGCCCTCTTTCTCTTTCCACCCATCAAGTATACTCCCACTACTAAACTCACCTTTCTCTCTCTGGAACCTAAATCAAAGCATTCATTTATTTCCTTTACCTACTTTTTCTTTTTGTTAGGATGGCTGGGAGCTGTAGCGTATCATAGCACTATACTTAATATGATGTACTGGGAGATACATACAAGATGTGACAAGTTGCCAGTGCTTTAGAGCACTAAGATAAAAAGTCCTTGTCATACCAATAATTCATGACGACACGATCTGCAGTGGTTGGACTGTAGGAGGAAATGACCAACAGGAGAACTGTTAATTTTGCTTTCCTCCCAATGGTCTAGCTATGATTAGACTGGTATAGCTTAAGGTTTGACTTTAATACACAGTCTGAGCCACATTGTTCTTTATTGTGTGTGAGAGTCCAAAACTTTGACTGTAAAGGGTAAAACATGTTATGCAGCATTCCATTTAAAAAGGCCACTCCTAAAAAGACAATCCTACAATGTCAAGATGTTACATTGTGAAAAATACTGATAAAAACACATGTTCAACAAATGATGACCTTGACCTTCAAAAGTTTAAAGTTATTTCTGGAAATTCTGCCCATCACATCTTCACAGAAATTTCCTTTTGATTCCCACATACGAGAGTCCTGCTGAGGTTTTATGTCCATTAGTTTAAAGAGTAGCCTACAAAGTGCTAAGTGCATCGGTTTATTTTCATCTTCGCCACAGTTCCAAAAAGCAGAAATTGTATCACATTTGCAGCAAATCTTGGGACACCTGTAATCCTTTTCCACAGCAAGAACTTAACAACCTATAACCCCTGGCTTCCAATAACATGAACTTTTAAGAACTTTGAGAAGCTTTTTTTATTGCATACCCACAAAGCAGAAAATTTCAAATATATGCCATATAAGGGCACAAATTATTGATAGTGAAGTAAGTTGTTATTTGTCAGACAACAATGTAAGAAGAGGTGCCATTCTTTTTATTTGCACTTACATAAACATAAGACACTTGTATATGCCAAGGCAGGGCTCTGTTGGGGGTCTGCCAGTCAGTGGCTCCAAATGAAATCCAATGCCTCAAACCACTTTGTCATTTTACAATTTCAATTCTAACCACTGATTCTGCTCAATCTGAGTAATCTGACTCCATTGGCACATCCGGGCCACTGTACCTTGACTATATAAGTGTTAATAATAGCTTCATAAACATGTTTATTGTAGAAAAAAAGGTCTGTCCTAAGACATTTATTATGTTTTGGACTCTGGGAAAGTGTACATTTTACCAAAATGACTATCTCTTTAAACAAATCACACACATTTAAGCTATTCTATATGATCTCCCTTTGATAACTAATAATTTATGTAATATTTTTGCACTTCCATTCACTGAGCTTCCTGTGAAACCATTTGGAGCCCCCCTGGGGAGGCTGGCCTCCCGCTTTGAAAGCCTCTACTATAGAAAACACTAGAAAATTATAGTTTAGTAAAAGCTTTCATCCACCAAAAAAGAACAAGCACTGGTTTTATGGACATACCTATTATGTCCTGTTGTTAGCCAAGCAAGGATATTTCTTTAAATATCTCTTATGCAACTGCTAACTGTTTCAAACAGCATTTTACAACCTCTTCTGGGGATAAGACCAGTGCCTGGTACTCGCCGGTAATGAGTACCAGCGTTCTGATTTTTTTACCCTAAAGTCTGAGTACTGCCACCTCGGGTAAGAAAGGCCATACCCACCATTGAGGTCACCAGTAGCTTTTCCAAGGGTTATGCAATAGAAGTTATTAAATAACTGTCTAAAAAAAACTACATTGATGCATGCCCTAAAACTAGCACGTTCAGTTTGGCCCTTTGTATTTCTCAAACCTAGCATACAGCAATTCTGGTGAGGTACTCCTAAACAACTGCATAAAAGTGTCTAAGAAAAAAGCACTGAAAATGTCATTGTTAAAAAGTTTAAAAAAACAACAAAAGAATTAGGGTTAAGGTTATGTTGTGGTTAGGGTTAAGGTTGTTTTTGGTCCAATTCAAACACTGAATAAGGCTCAATGGGCTTGACAGTTGTAGACTGTGATTAAGTGTTGGTCAGAACATTCTTGCAGCCTCAGGAGTTTGGTTTCCACTTGTGTCCCAAAGCAGATTAGACATCACTAATGCATCAAGCCTGAAAATACTTCTAACATCGATATAATGGGCAGTTAAGGAGGATGAAGAATGTTCAGAAGCAATTAACTTGAGACCTTGCCCCACAAGACTAGATTTTTTTTTGTCTTTTAGTGCCGAACCAACTACATCGTTCTTATGCACTGCTTGGTTGTAAGTGGTTATTTGTCACACAACAACATAAGAAGTGGTGCTATTATTGTTATCCTTTTATTCACACTTACATAAACACGACACACTTATATATGCCAAGGCAGGGCTCTGTTGGGGGTCCGCTCGTATGTGGCTCCAAATGAAATCCAATGTCTCGCACTACTTTGTAAATTTACGATTTCAATTCAAACCACTGATTCTGCTCAATCTAAGTAGCTTCCTCTCTCCAAATACTAATGAGGACTTGGATCTCTGTTTTCCCAACAAGAGTTCTTCTTTGGTCTTCCTTTTTTGCTTGTTTCTTTTCTACAGAATCTTTTTTCTATCTGGTAGATATAGATGCAGTAATACAATGGTGGATACTCTTGGGTTTTATGTGTCCTCGGTGTGACAGATAATGATTTTCAAAATTCTAGCACCCCAAATGAGGTAAAGAACAGTGGAAACAAAAGCAGAACCTGAGACAATTGTGACACCACGTTGTAAGAGTTAAGAGTTAGGGTTTGTTAGGGACAGAATAGATATCATCATGAAACTTCCCCAGTTGATTATTTACATGAAGGCAATTATTTTTTGTATCACAAGTTTTCTGAAATGTTATGTATAAATATGCAAATTATATTTTATGTAATCAAAATTTGCTAATTTGCATACATTTTCCAGAACAGAAATCTGAACATTAGATAAAGCCAGGTTTAAAATCCTTGATTCATTTTGTTGCACATTTGAGTCAAGAATTTACAGAAGGACTTTTGGATATCCATAAATCAGAATGTATGGTCAACAGCCATAACAATATTGTTTCATTTCATTTTGTTAAAAAATTGGGGTCAAAGGTTTTTACAGAGGTTTTTTTTTTTCACTCCGTAAATCAAAAGATACTGTAATCACAAATAAAAAATGGCAATGTTTTAAGAAAATAAATGTGATATTAATTAGGCTATAAATTATATATGAGGCATTATCTAATGCTAAGTTTAGGTGAAATCTACAGACGCAAACAGACAAAGGGTACTCAAATAAACCCCTAAATGTTTATTTTGGGCATTGTCTTTCCACTACTCAGAAAGAATGTTATGGAAGCAAAATAGTCCAAAATCGCAAAATTGATCATGTGCATGAATAAAAAATGTATTACCTTAAGGTGCTGCAGTGGAAAAAGGTTTTCTTATAGAATTTACTCTGAACACAAGAAGCTTTTTGCACCACTTAACATGAACGTTTCTATAGAGTTATTTATAATACAGCATAATCCCTTGTTTTGGCAAGCACAGAAGGCGTGCCTATATGTGAGATGTGTGCTTTAGAGATAGAAAGAAGAGAAGTATAGAGGCTGCCTAGGAAAGTCACGTTACCATATCTTGGGTGAAAAGTGTGTTGTGCTGTTGACAGTTAATAAATCTCGGGCTGCATTGTGACTATAAATGCTAAACATTCACAGCAAGGTCAAGTGGTTCATTTCTCAAAGATATATCCTTTTTGTCTTCTGAAGGTTGCCATATATCACTCGAGGATGAACTGAGCTTGCTGTAACTCATGATACATGAAAAGTCTTGCTGATATCAGGCATCTCTGAATTTGCCCAGACTACTCTGACGCAGCCCTATGCAGTGTAAATACATCAGGACGTATTTAGTCCACTTTGAACATTAGACAGAGCAAAGATAATTTTGCTAAACTCCTTTGACGGGCTGTTTTCAACTTGTTCAGCTCAATTCAGCATTTCTTCCTAAACTGAACTTCTTCCCTGTGAGTCCACACTCCCCAGTCTTCTGAGGGCCTGTCGGCTGCAATTACCATCTGTCTAAGTCAAGCCAGGACCCTGCGCAAAAAGTGGGGCAAACCCACGCTGAACATCTTCTCGCAGGGGATTGGGCCTTTCACCCATTAAAGACCAGACTATCTGTCATGACAGCCAATCACTGCGCTGATCAAGCGCAGAAGCAGAAGACAAGTCTAGAGGAGTTAAGGGAGACTTGACCCCTCGTGGGTGCTGCTTCTAATGGGGTCAGCTATCGACTATCGGCCGTGCAGCGCCGGATATTTTTCTGCCCATGCAGTTTATCCTAACTGGGACTTTGTCGGGTGTAATGATCTACACTGTGAGCAGATTGTGTGTGCTTGTGTGTGTGTGTGTTTTAATAAGCTCTGTAGGGGAAAGAAGTCACATCAGAATCTATGTTATCCTCGCATCACTATACTCTCAAATAGCATCTGTTACCTCCCTATTCTTTCTTTTTCACTTTCTTTCCCCCTTAGTGTGTCTCAGTGTAATGCTCCTCCTCATTACATCTTATTCCTGGTCAAACATTTAGATGGTAATAGATGTTGATATGACAGTTCACACTAATGTTTAAATCATGAAACTAGCACCAAGATAGAATGAAAAAAATGAGAACAGGTTTGGCACATCTGTAAAACCTGATCTTAATATACAAGAGAGCATGCTTGAGGTGGACAGAGAGCAAAAATGTGAAAACTGCCTAACAGGTGACAATTGATTGCACTGTATATAGTACTCTGGGCTGGGTATCGTTTTTTCAATATTGGTAGCAATACCTTGATTTTGATTCTGGTTCCTGAATGACGCATTTTTTGATACTAATTCTCTGAAATAAATCTTACATTACACATTGCAGTACCTATCTTTCATTTATTTATTTACCAGGGAATGCAAATCAATCATTGCACTCAAATGCAAATGTAGCAGAGTTAGCTAATAAGCCATAGTCCCTGGGCATCTGTACAGTATTGGACTATATAATGAATATAAATACCTGTCAAAGTAATATTAATAACAAACAGTTTGGCACATATCCACCATTGTTGCATCTTGTCTGTCTAATCCACAGAAGAAAAAGAAGAAGAAAAAGAAGAAGAAGAAGAAGAGAAGAAGAGAAGAAGAAGAAGAAGAAGAAGAAGAAGAAGAAGAAGAAGGTACTGCAGTTCAGTACCCAGCCTTAGTGCTACTATAGTTTTTTGGGCTCCTTCTGTTGTACTGTGCATCTATTTTGGTACTGTGATACTTTCCTGCATTGGATCAACAAAGCTGATCTTTTCTGACATTTGAATTGCTTGTTCTGTTCTCTCTTAATGCTACTTTGGAGTATCATTAGTACCAACAACCCTTTCAGTTTAGCTCATCAGGTACATATGGCCTCTGTGCATTGTTATAGCACAAGAGGTGCAGCCTCGGGGCACATAACGCTCCAAGCTCCAAGAACAAATTTTTGTAAAATTACTGTCACATACAGGTCAGCAGCACTCTGGAATGCTCGGGCCAAATATATCATATCTACTGTTAACAACAAAACAACTTTTAGAAAGCACATAAAGAAATATTTTGCCATATAACAAGAACATACCCCTACATGTATATTGGTCTGATTGTTTTGTTTTGTTTGTTTTATTGTTTTGTTTTTATATGTATTAAATTGTTGTCTGTTATCACTTTATTCTTGTTTTCACTCATTAGTCGGTTTGTCTGGTACCATTACATTTTAAGTTTATGTTTTTTTATTGTATGTTTGTACTTTATTTTTGATACCAGGAAGACTAAAGGTACATGCATGTGCTTTTAATGGGGATCCTTAATAAACAATAAACATACAAAGAAGAAGGGAATTTGTTGTATTGTGACAGGATTTAGACTTAGTGTAGTCTTTTTGAGTTTGTCTGTTTATCATTTTTATGTGAGTAAACTTATTCCTGGAGACCTTTTTATTATTTCCTTCCACTCTGCAATGCTTATTACAACGTCCAGTTTATTACAACTAGTATGAAGTAGGGACTAGACCTTTTTCACAACAGCCATTTTGACATGAAATAGTAGGGTAAACACAGGTGTTACCAATGATGCTTAATAATTAAGGTTAATTGGTAACACCTGTGTTTACCCTACTATTTCATGTCAAAATGGCTTCCTATTATCCCAAGCAATAATAGTTGGTTATTCCAACATTTCACTTTCAGTTTCACCACCAAATTGGTGTGTACATCGTATCATAACGACATAAAGCATTGGCCAAAACTACGAAAATAAGACCCAAGTTGTATAAACTGGAATGATCCAATGCATATTTTCTGAAATTGCTTAAAAGTGCAATGCATACATTTATGGTTTCCATTACCAATTCTTGGTTGTATTTTTTTTATTTAATTTAATTCTAAGTTTAATAGATATGTGTAGTCTACTAAAATAAAATTTTCTTCTATAGATGTTACAGTAACAAAACATGAGGTAGAAGTAACACAACATTCCAGTTAATGAAACCCAACATTTGGATAAAATATTTAACTAATTTCAGTGGTAGAATTAACCCAGCATTTTAGTTAATAAGAACCCATCTTGCTGTGTTAGTTATCAGTGTAATTAAAAACTACCTACATTTTTTCTTTTTTTTTAACCTCGCATTTTTTAGGGTATAAGTTTCCTGGGCTCACACCCATGCACCCCTTTTAATAATGATCTTTAGAGACTCACGTGGTCCATTAGCTCCTTGACCATGCCATTCCATTGGCCCGTATTCTCATCCTGGGCACCGTATTTCCCATCTTCCACCAGGCGGACCTCGTAAGTGAAGCCCAGGATGTTGGCGAGCTCTCTCAGCAGGTCTATGCAAAAGCCCTCAAAGCGGTCGTTCCCATACAGCGGCTTGTCAGATTTCTTGAACATCACGTATGGCTCTTCCTGTCAGGTGAAATAGAGGAGGAGGAATGAGTCTCTGCAGCACTTGGCATCTTTTACCTACTGATAAGGCCTATCTGAGAGGGTGTCTGATGTGCAAGATAGGCTTTTGAGCCGCCCAAGCCCAAACACACACTGGCTCGGCTAGTAAAGCTGCTGTGTTTGTGTGTGTGTGTGCACTTGCCAGCAGTCCCCATCCTGTGATGTGAGGTAGGGTGGGTGCAAAGTGAGGCATGACCATAATAAGAGATAATCCCCTATATCAATGACTCTGTGCTCCTCTCAGGCTCAGTAGGCTGGCTTTGGGCCCAGGCCCAGCTTTCAGTGCACCACATGCTTTGTCAATAAGATAAGAGATCCTGATAGACGGACACAAAAAGAGAGAGCAAGAGCCGGCGCATCAGCTCTGTTCACACAAACAGCTGGGCAGATTACTAATGTCTTCTTTCATACTGCTTCTTTTCTCCCTCCCGTCTACCGAGCGTCTCCTCCGCCATGTCCTTCCCCTCTCTTTCCTCCACGCTTCACTCCCTGTAAAGCGTCCTCCTCCTCCCGCTTCCTCCCGTCTATACCTCTGTACTACCATCTGTCTTTGTTAGCCTTAGACACTCATTCTCGCTGCATGTCCCTCATTTCTACGACTTCCTTGTCTCTCTCAGACAAATAAATCCAAAAATATATTGTCAGGCAGGTGTTGTTTATAATATAACTGTGCCATGACTGAAGAGAAAAATCATTTAAGATTGCTAACGGGCTCTGACACATTCCGCTGGCTGGGGTTTTAATAGGATGCAGGCCAGAAGATGTTCTTTTCACTAGTAGTGGCAGCCCAAACAAATAGGCTGTTTTTGCAGTATATCATATATTTGCCTTTTAACAGTGATAGCAGACAGATGTTGAGGATAATGATACCACCGCTGTGAGGATAGAAATGTTAGATTATGGAGCAAAAACAGGTACAACAGTGACAGTTTTCTTTTAAAATCGAAATATAAAATCATATTTGTGTTTTTTTCTTATTATTCTTTTCTTTCTTACACACAATACATGTGAAATCCATGTATCGCATATGAAATATCCAGAAACCTATGTAACTTATGTTTCACATATGAAATGCCCCACAACCCTATTACAGCTGTATTTTTAAAAAGCACTAATTGAAACAGAAACAACAGTGATATGAAATCATTAAGGACAAACTAAATGACAAAGTCATGAAAAATGTGTTTGATAGAATGATAGAATAAAGTGTGTATGAGATATGACACAGTATAGTATACCTCTGGGGTTTGTCAGTAGGATTAAGGTTAAAGCTGCAGTAGGTAACTTTTCTAAAAATCTTTTTGTAATATTTGCTGAAACTTTCACTATATTCTGACAGAAGTACATGAAACACATAATCTGTGAAACAATCTGGTTCCTCTGGCTCCTACTGGTGCTCCTAATGGCATTTGTAAGAATCAACCGGATTGGCCTGTACAAAAACAACCAATCAGAGCCAAAACAGAAAGACAATTTATATTAAATATGACAAAAAGTTATTTTTAGAAAAGTTACCTACTGCAGCTTTAAATCAAATTTTTAGAACTATATGTTTCTATGTTAACATTCAGCACATGTAAAATATCCAAAACCCACTAGTGTAAATGTGTGATGTAAATTCACATGTAAAATGTTTGAAACTGCTTGAGCCCCGATAATGAAACACATCTTACGTTATGTGTGGAATTGTTATCACATGTGAATATTAGACTATGGCTCAGTTGTAGATAAGTGTTTATTTATAGTACAAAGTAGTTATGTTTAGTACCACTGAGTTCACCACTTATAATTTGTAATAATGTAAATCTTCCCCATCGCTGCCGTGAAGTAAAAATAGGATATCAGCTCAACTAGCCTCACTTTGACCACACTGCAGCCATAAATTTGTATCATTGCTGACCCAGCTCATTATATACAATATGTTATATCTACTGTAGCTCATGTGCTGCAACATTATACCTCAGCAGCTACATGAATGCAAGGATACTGATGTAATCTTGATGAAAGAGCAGAAAACACTGTCCACACACAGATCAATACCAGAGCACCTACAATGTCAACACATACAGTTCCAACACCAAAACACGCTGTATGTGCAGGCGTCTAGTTGAAGGTGAACATAAATAAAATGTAAATAGATATTGGTATTTAAAACAGGCATAAATTCCAACCAGTGGAATATATATACGATGGCAGTGTTGACGACACCAACGGCTGTCAGACGTGTGATGTGCATGTGATATGTGTACTATGTGAGTAACACATTCAGTGCGACATCTAACAACCCAAGGTAAGAGCAGTGGATCCCTTTCTTCCAATCACCATGGTAACTGAAACACTGCTTCAGTGGTAATGAGCACGCCAGTGTTTTTTTTAAATCCACACAGGTAAGGACTACGGACTTTTATTACTGTATGCAGAAGGACACTCACTGATACTACCAATGCTAGAGTCTAAGGGGGAGGTAGAGGGGGGAAATATGCTAAGTTGTGGTTATTTATCGCTCATTACCTTGGGTACTGTGTGTTGAACTCGAGCCCTACTTCTGTTATGAATTGGCGCTATACAAATAAAACTGAATTGAATTGAAATTTAATTGGATCAATTTGTATTATAGATTAATGTTCTAAACCCTTACACACCCAATTTGTAGTTGTTGCTCTAGGAAATCACATATTTTTTTAAACCTTGTGCTTTAAAATTGTGTGTTAAAGGACCAGCGTGTAGGATTTAGTGGCATCTAGTGGTGAAGTTGCCCATTGCAACCAACTGAATACAGCTCCACCTTCCAAGTGTGTAGGAGAAACTACTGTGGCCATGAAACTAGAGCCAGTGCCACATTTGTGCTATTCACATAATTTGGGCACACATGGGCAAAAACAAACCAGTGCCGATACACTCAAGAACTGGGATTGGTAAACTTGGGGTGTTTGTAATTTCTACAAGTTTCTGATACCTGTGGAGATTGCTGAGAGCAATGACAACATGAAGAAAGCCAGTAACTTACACCTTATTCATCTGTGACCTTTCAGTGCACAACCAATGATGACAGCCGTCCATTAAAGAAAGTGATGGGTAATATGTATGAAAATGGTTTTATGCACCCACACCCTCTCCTGACTGTTGGGTTCTTACCTGTCTTTAAATATAATTCACAAATCCCATTCCTGAATGGCCTTTTTATGCTTGTATGCTCTTTTGGCAGAAATAATATTCATAGTTATGTTTTCATTAGTGTATAATCACCTGAAATTCACCTTTTTATCTACAGATGCTGTTTCAACAGTAGCCCAGAACGGACAAACCAAACACTGGCTGTAAGCTAAGGTATGCCACCGTAGTTTCTCCTACATACTTCACAGCCTGTTCTCATTCTCAGGTCGCCAAATACAGATGCGAGCAGTGTGCAGTTATTTGCAATCTGAAACAGCTACATGCCACGGTTCTTTAAATTTCAGTTATATTATATTATTATATTATGGAGTCTACGCGCAAATTGACTGGATTATCTATGTTGTTTCTAATTTCCTGCCAGTGCAAAATACTCTGTGCTGTTTGACTCCAGTGGGTTGTGGCTTCCATCACAAATATACCAGCCGCGTATACTACATGGAGCAGAGCGGAGAGATGCTTCTGGGACACATCGTGGCGCTTCTAGTGGAACTCAAAGCATTGTTTATAATGGGTGCTATCAGCTCCAGCGACTGTGGAGGAGTCGGACACTGGATCAGCGGAGTGGTGTTGTGCTGGTAACACGCTTGTGCACCGGGTTGTGCATCATACGTTGAGATTCTCTTCCATCTGCTTTTTTGGGGGGATTTTTAGGTTTTATTCTCATCTATCAGAAAGGACCTTTTCACCACAGTGACAGTAAATTCCTCCTCACCCCCTTTAAATTATAATTGAATCCCTTTCCTTATTGTCTGACCGTGTTCTCCCAGTCTCTGTTTGCTGCCATGTTAACTGATGGAGCAACTGTTATCTAGCATGTAAAGCACCAAGAAGCTATTGCAAGCCCATTTCCAGCTTATGACCTCTCACCTCCTGTCAACTGTGAAAGGCTGTAATTATCATAAACAGTCGCTCTGCACATTAACAAAGAGCACCTCTCACTGGAACAACCGGCAATACCCGTGATTGTTTCTGGACATTATAAAAGCTCTCCTTTTACTGAAAATGGTCTATGGAGGTGTTATAATGTTTTTTGGACAGGTAGCCACAACATAAGAAAAATGTCACTTTTCACATATTTCACAAATGAGCCTTGACTTGAAATTTAGGAGGCTTGATTAAACACTGTGGTACAATGGTAGATTTGGTTTATGCTGCACTGACCCAAATCTGATAATTAGTCAGCTCCAAAGCCTCTTCCCCTCCAATCATTGAAATTACGCAATAATTCATGCAATTTGTTTATTCTGGTTTGAATTAGGCCAACACTGACCAATAGAGATTTAGCAATGGCTGTCTTTTAAGAATTGCAGCTTCAAAGGAGATACTGTTCAAAAGAATTTTTAATGGCACGGTTTGATTCAAACAGCGTGGTTCTCCAGCTACTACTCACATGCTCTAATCCCAATTAATCGTATCAACACGGGCCCAGTGTGAGTACATAATCTGACACACGAGCACATTGCCCAATAAGATTACGTACACTACATGTGTTGCTGATGCAGTGTGTGCATCAAGTCCACAAATGTTATCACAGTAAATAATAAAGCGAAATAAATAATATAAATTGATTTATAAAAACGTTAATGTTGTTTGTTACAGTAACACTAATCAACTGATAAAATTATTTCATTTAATTTTTATTTATCTTTAAGTGGATATTTTTATTTGCAACTTCCACTGCAACTTTACGTCCTCTCTGTGCAATTTACACACATAGTAACTATATTACATTTTCTCACTTTTCAAGTGGCCCTTCTTTCTTCTGGTTAGAAAAATATATACCCCCT